TTTTTTTTTTTTTTAAGTTTAGTTTAGCCAGCTAGGTCTGCTAATGGATCCACTGAGCAGTTACTCAGAAATGTTTCCATTGTAATGTATTTTGCTTTAGGAAGATATCCAAAATAATTGGATGCAGCATGCAGAGTATTTTTCCAATAGCAATATTTGGAAAATCGTTCATGTGAATGGTGCTGTATGCTCATTGTTGCATATGTGTGTGTTGTAAACTACAAAGCTTAAGTGAATACTTTTACACAGCAAAATAAGTACTTGAAGACAGAAGAATGAGCAAATCTTGAGTATTTGGCATAGTATCTTGGAGCTGCAAAATTACACCTTGACTTGCTTGATAATTAAGTTTATTTCTTTTTTGTCTTTTAACTATTTATTGATCCTGCAAAGACTTGTGCATGTGATTAACATTAAATGGAAGTGTTCAGGCTGCTAAAACTAGACAGCTTCTTCACTCCTTGGAAAATTCAGATCTTTGGTTCCTTAATGTTTACATTCTTAAGAAATATTTAACTTCTTTACTGCAATGCAAAATACATATTTCTGAACATTCTTGAAGGGTATTTCTTAGCTTTTTGTAATGGGATATTTTAAGGGGGAAATCTTGAACCTTTATTGTAGAGTCAGAGCAAAGGAAAAAGGTTGTAACAAATGAGGGGAAACAAATAGCAAGCTCTAATAAAAGATTTCATAAACACTACCAACAACAGGCACACCACCATATTCACCAGCTTTTCTGCTAYGTCACTCTTCAGTAGAAAATAAAAAACTGCTTACTATGGGTGTTCCAAAGGGAATATATGAAAGTGTCTTGATTTCTCTAATTCTTAGTGCTGCAACTGGTGAAATGGTTTGAACCAGCTTGCAACACTCTGAACACTGTCAATGTTCAGGTGTAAAAAACTTGATTTATTCTACATTGACTCTTAGGTAGATACACTCATTTGCTCATGTGAGCTACTGCATTGGTAAGGACTGTAAGCTGGCTCTTCAGAAATAATGTTATCAAGAAGGATCTTTTTCATAATCTCTTAATAAATTACCAATAGTGAGGAGCTGACCTAAAACCTGAGGCTTGTCTTCATGCTTACCTGTCTTCATTGCTTGTTTATAATTATGTGCATTTCTCTGTCTGTGTCTGTATATATCATTYACTGTGTACATTCATATTTGTTTCTGCAGTAAGTTTGTGCCTACCTAAGAATTAAAGTTCTCAATTGGGTCCTTGCTTCCCTGGGTCAAAAATATACCTGTCTGGTTCGTGATTCATTAATTATCTTTTTGATATGCCATACAGTTGCCTGTAGAGAATGAAAATCCAAAGAAGCTAGAAATGTGACATTTGTGTTACATAAGAAGTTCTGAAATCAAATATGTTTCTGAAGTCAGAAATAGTCTCTAGAAAGTTCGTGTTTATGACTACTAGAGTGAAACATCTGTTATACTGTGAAGAGAAAGCTCTCTTGTGTAAATGTTATAGTTTGTTCGAATCACTTCTGCTGCTGAACAGAATTTCGTATTACTTGTTATGCCTTGCAACATGCAAAAATAYCTAATTTGTTTTCGGGTTTTTTATTTGCATTGTAGGTTTTGACTTTTGCCTATAAGCATGCATTGGTAAATAAAATGTATGGAAGAGGTCTCAAGTTTGCCACAAAACTTGCAGAAGAAAAGCCAACAAAGGACAACTTTAAAAACTGCATTCAGGTAAGAAGTGTTTGGTCAAGTAATGGGGCTGTGTTCATGCTTCATAAGCTTTCAGGAGTAATATATAAGTCTTCKGGGATTTTTTTTTGTTTGTTTTACTATTCTCATTTTAGGAAGCACTCAATGTAACATTTTATCTTTATCCAGGCTTTATAGCTTGGCTTTCATTTTAAGTAACAATTTTTTTTCTGGCTTTTTCTAGAATACCTAATTTGTGAGTAACAGTCTTTTTTAGCGGATTTGCTTTCTGGAACTTACTTTGGAGCATAAAGGAAGTAGAGTCAATTTAGTCAAAGATATTGGTGTAAAAATCCCCTTATGTCACTGTTTAACCACTGTTATTTTTTACTAATATTGATCATARTTGCTGCTGGCAGAATTTAGTGGTGAATTAATGGCAATTCCTAGGACTAAATTTTTGTGAAAGAATGTAGATCATATAGAATGGGAAGGAGGGGTCCACCTTTCYAAGGAGTTCAAAGCTCATCAGATCTCCAGTCTCTTATCTTTCTGATGATAGACATTTTAGTTAGATGTTGATATCAGGGCAGTGTTTAGGTTTAGATTTTAAAAGGAGTAAGACTTAATTTTGTCTGCTTTTTTTTTCTTCAGCTAATGAAGTTGCTTGGATGGACTCACTGTGCAACTTTCACTGAAAATTGGCTTCCTGTCATGTATCCACCTGATTATTGTGTATTCTAGAAAATCCACAGTTGTAAAATTAATATGGTTTTATATGGGACAGGATAGGAAAAGATAAGTTTGACCTTTTATTCGAACGCATGTTTTCATTACTGAATGCTGATTATTAAATTGTGTGTATTTATCAGTTAAGGCACCTGGGTACAGCTTAATACCTGTTAACCTGACTCCTGTCATCAGGGAGTTTCCTTATTGTGCATCCCATTGCTGGCAATGGATGTGCCAGAACTGCCAAGATCAAGGATTTGGAATTAGTTTGGAAAGAATTACTGCATGCATGTTAGGTTCTGAACTGTTACTTTTAACTGCAAACCTGTACAAGTTCTGTATTTTTTACAGTAAACTGAATTTTAACATGTTTGATCTTAATTTCAATTGTATGAAGGCCTTAAAGCTACTTTGATGGTAGCTAAAATCTTACTTATTAGATGACAATAATGGACACCTGTATTGTTTGCAAGAGTTTACATTTAATTTTTTTAAGAAAAATTCAACCTCTCAAACTGTTACAATGTTTCTCGGAATTGCTGATGCATAGGTGCTCTTGTAAATCTTTATTTTGGAGTGATTTCAGGCAAACTCAAAAATCCCGGGGAAGCTGAGTATCAGAACAGGCTGATACATGTATAAAAGTGCCAGACAGTCACATCTTGATCAGATATTGTAAAGCTATACATAGATGTTTATTAATGTTAAAAATATAAAACGCAGCAGAATAAATGTGCAAAGTTGAAGATCAAAAAACCACCATGTTCACTCTGATACTTTAAAAGATTTTTATAATGAATAAAAGTACTGAAGCTAAAAATTGTATTGGTTTTTGGGTGAGTACATAAACAAAACTTGATGAAAGAAAGCACCTTACAAACAACAGAAGTTCAGTGCAACCCAGAAGATCAATGATTTTGTTAAAACCTTACTAACTATTGCTATGAACATTGTTCTTCAGTGGAGGGGAATTGGYCAGTTGGAACAGGTCATATGTATCAACCAGAGACAAATATCCATAGCTTTTGCCTTGCTGGTTTTTTCATACTTGCAATGCAAAACTTAGATGCAACTGCAACTTTACAAGCATAAACGCACAGAAGGTGCAACCTAATTCTGGGAAGCATCCAAACTGTGAGGTGCTGCCACAAGTCAAGATCAATAATGATTTTCTATTTAATTCTCTCTTACTGTGGCTTTAAGCAGCTTGACATTTGATTCTGGAAATTCTGCTAGAATGGTTGTGTTAAATATATTAGAAACTTTTTCCAAAAATTCATAGTCTGTACTGAATCTGAATTTATTTGCCCATAATAATACTGTTCCTGGCTTACAAAAGTACACCATTGTTGCTAGCAGGGGGTCCAGAGCTGCATGATGGTACACGACATCAGTTGCCAGTATGAAATCATAATGGTAAGTTGACACAGGAAAGTCTTCATTGAGGCCTTCTCCCCATACCAGTTTTCTCACTTCAGGTTTGTGCATATTCAAGTTCTGTGTATTTCTTGAAATATTATAGGAGAGATTTTCAAGAACTTCAGGCAAATCAGTTGCTGTAACGTGAGCTCCTAAAGAAAACATGAGTTTGTTTCAATTCACAGAGTCATTAATGTTGGAAGAGACCTTCAAGATCATCTGTCCAACCACAAGCCCAGCACCACCATAAACACCCCTAAACATATCCCCAAGTCCCACATCCAGACACCTCCTGAATGCTTCCAGAGACAGTGACTCTGCCACCTCCCTGGTCAGGAGGGAGCCTAACCACCCCTTCCATAAAAAAAAAAAAAAAAAAAAATCTAATATGAAATCTGGACTCCCCTGGCACAACTTGAGGCTATTTCCTTTTGTCCTTTCACTTGAGACAGGACAGAATTCATAGGTACGTAGCTGAACATGTATAAAGCCTTATCTACATAACTTGTCCAGCCTCCCCCTCACCAGAAACTAGGGTAGTTACTTGGTTAACAAAACAGTATTTTACAATAATTTTCATTTAAAAAAAAAAAGTAACAAAGTTTACTTCAACTGTTGTTTCATTGCCTTCAAGTGGTAATGGCAGAGCTTAAATCACCTTTCTCTAGAAATCCAGAAGGAAATACAAATTCACCAACCTAAGATACAGGCCACAATGGAAAGCAAGCCTGTTCCAGCACCAATTTCCAAAACCTTTTTGTCTTTGAGGTTGAATTGTTCTTGATTTGATTCCAGATATTGAGATAAAGCCAGTGCCTAAAATGGTTAACACATATCCATAAGAGGTTAACAGCTAAGTTGCACAAAAATTCATTAGATGTTTTTATACAAGGGTGTTGTTTTTCTTTTAGTACAAGAAACACTGAGGAGTGTAACATAAAAATGTAATAGGGAAGAATTGCAATGTCCTGTTTTTTTATATAAAAAATTAAAGCCTTTTAGTTTAACGTTTATGTAATATGGATTTGCTACACACTTCTATGTGAGTCTTCTGACAGCTCAAGACAGAATCACAGAATAAGCTGAGTTGGAAGGGATCCACAAGGATAGGCAGTGTTAAGATGTGAACCATACAGTCAGAACAGCAGGGTTTAACAATAGGTAGAAAGTAATGTTCTGGTTTATTAATCATAACTKTTATGCTTTACTGTCACTATGATAAAGTAAATTCAGGCTTCAGCAGAGATTTTTGGATAACCTTTTTTTTGTTTAGCAAATTTTTTTTAGCAAACAAGATATTAAAAATTTGTTATTTACAAACTCAACACTTGGTCACTGATAAGAGTATAAACTTTGAAAAAAAACAAAACAGCACTGTATGGAAATATTATCAGGCCTTTTTAAAGATCTTTTAAAGGTCAGAATATAAATGGGCTGTTTATAAACAACATAAACTGATGCCAAAGAAACTGTCTTCCCCCTTTTGATTCTCTTTTTTACAGTTGTATTACTGTTTTGATTTTTGTGCTTTTGATAATGCAACACTGTCTACCTGCTCTGGGTAAGCTGACAGCTAATGAATCACCAGTCCAATTTGTGCAACCTCTCGATTTTCTTGGAGAGTTTTACCATCTGCATTCTGACACTTGATTGAAGTGYGAATTGATGATCTGACATTTCAAAATGAGATACTGTTTCACCCACCCATATGCTCTCTGTTTCTATTGTTTTGAAATTGTCTGCCATTTTTTGTGAGCTTTTTAAATAAATGTGGATCTGAAAAATTTCGAAATCCTAATTTTCATGTCTTTACCAGATGACCCTATCTTCCCTCAAAGCCAATTTTCCTAGTCTGCATAAAATTCTGTTTTTAAAAGAGTAGAAGAAGCAGAGACTGAAGAACTGTTTACAACTATGTTTCTYCATGCTGTAATGAAATAGTTTCAGCCTATTCTTTAATAGAAGCATATGTAACCATTATAACCCCCTTTGTTTATTTAATCTCTCACAAGTTTCTTTTTCAGCCTCACTTTTGTACTGCTGATTGTTTACTTCCCAGCAGTGCCTGATTGGAAGCATGAAGCTGAATGTTTTCTCCTGAGTTCCCTTACTGAATTTTTTTCCAATCCCTACATCTAAYGTACAAATGCTTTAATGCTGTAGTCCTTGTGGCATGAACTGGCAAATTACCGTAAGGCAGAGCTTTCTACTGAAGGACTTCATTGAGCATATAGAAACCTCCTTTGTCAGAAGTGTCATTCAAGAAAGCTTCCTTAATTCTTGTGTGCTGCTGTCCTGGTTCGCTCTCACATCACATCAGCTTTCTGCATGKGGTCTCGTGTACTTACCCCCGGCCAAACCACGGCTCCAAAGTGTTCTATGGACTCCTGAATGACGATCTGGTGGCCAACATACGTATAATGCTCCTTATCAAAGTAGTGTGAAACTCTGGGGACCCAGTTCTGCAGTATTTTAAGAATTACTGGTGAACCTGTGAGAGAAAAGTTGACTTTTTGTGGGTTTATGGGCAACTTGTTAAAGGGTAAGAAGTATTTTACAAAAGCAGTCTGGGGGCACATGGACTAGAAGAGCTCTCAGGATATTGGCTTTGAATCATAGAATTGTTAAGGCTGGGGAAGTTCTCTAATATCATGAAATCCACTCAGTAAGCAACCCATCACTAAAACACGTCCCCAAATGCCACCCCACACATCATTTGAACRCTTCTGTGGATGGTGATTGCACCACCTCYATGAGCAGCCAATTCCMATGCCTGACCACCCTTTCAGTGAAGACTAGTTGCTGTTAAAACCATAGTCTGGCTGGCCAGGGAGTGAAAGGAGCAATGGTCATTTCCTGCCATTCCTAGTGTTCACATGAGCAATTTAGAGATAGAAGTGAGCCTTTTAGGAAAAGCTACCAATTCAAATATAAAACTCTGTTAATAACAGCTAGAAGACTTTTGGGAGCAAGTTAGCTTGCATTTTGGTGTTTGTGCTGTAGATTTTGTTTGGATGGGCACCAGCTCTAGAACAACAGGCTTCTTTCTACGTAAGGATTTAAGATTCATATGTTACATTGAAGAAAATTAACTCTTTTTAGTGGTTGTTTTTAAGCATCCTTCCAYAGAAGAAGGGTTGTAAGATGCTTTTTATATTGACATACACAGTGTGCTTCAGCAAGTCAGTGCTACAGTTGTCCTAGGGTGTCTCACCATAGCAAGGAGGCTTGTGAGTGAGGTTTTTCAGGACATCTGTGCTGAACTGTTCCATCTGATCTCACTGAAAATTAGGATGTTCTGAATGACTGAATTTTCACTGGAAGCCTGTTGGTAGGATATGTGTGGAATGAACTGCKAGGGAAAATTCTCCTCTGGCTTGCAGGGGTTTTGATGCCTGCCTGGAATCCTTGGTAGCTGTTGGAGCAGTTYAGCCTGTTGAAATTTGTAATACCACTGCTAAAACAGTGCCAGCCAAATTAAGGCATATTATAACCCTATCTCTGATTGTAATCAAGAAATAAGATATCTAAGTAACACCCAGCAATCATTTTAAATATGGATCTTAATTATGGGGATAGGGGTTGGGTTTTTTGTGGATTTGATCTGGTAATAAATTCAAATATAAGGCAAAATAATGGAGGAAATTGGTATCAAAGGAAAGGTGATGTGATGACATCTACAATTTGAAGACTGACAAAGATCAAAATATGATATGCTAGCATGCCATAGCAATTTCACTATTTTAAATTGGATTAAACCTGCATCRGATTCTGCATGCTTGGAGTTGCAAGTGCAGTTTTCAGAGTCATAGTGCTCTTCACAGGTTTCTTCTTCCTTGGATTGGCAGTCCATTGTTCTTTGAATTTTGTTGGGGAATGGTGGCTGCTGTGCAGAGATCATTGCAAAAGAGCTGAAATGGAAAGGGTAATAGAGTGTTACAAAATCTTGCATTCTCTCCTCATATGAGATATGCCCAGGAAAAGACAGTAGTTTGGGTGGCCTTTGGTGGCCTTTTGGGGTTCTTTTTTCACTTGTGGATTGAAGGGGCAAGATGAGATGTGACATCCCCGCTCARCTGGGTGGTATGAGCAGTTTCTGGGAACGTAGTAATGCTGTCAGAATTTTTATTCTCTCATTTATCATTTTTATTATTGTGTTTATCATTTATGCAGAATCTTAGCATTATGTCGCTGAATTGATAGAACTAGTCAGTCTGAAAATTGAACAATTGTTATTAGTTGAAGCAGTAGCTGAGAAAGAACTTTTAATAATCTGTGACGTTTTATCTGTGTAATTAAAAAAAAAAAAAAAACACTTGGGACTTGTGATTCCAGAGATAAAACTATTTCATTTGCTGCGATCAGCACTCTTGATTTTGTTTCCTTGCACAGAGTTGCCTTCTSTACCCTGTCTTTTCCTGCAGAACAGCTAACTCAGTTACTCTGAAATGCAGTGAACTTCAGAGTATGCAGATRGCAGTGAGGAAATCATTGTAGTGAGAAGATTRAATCCATAAGGCTTTTTGRATMMMTWMGTTWKKWATGAMTGMMT